AGAGAATATGATTGGACTTGGACGTGGACGTGGATTGTCTGTGCAAAATGGTAGCATTCTAGTGTTCCCCTAGTGCTTTGCATGAAATTGATGTGTCTGATGTTATTAATGTCTGTTATTGTTAATGCTGATATTGATGGATTGTTAATGTTGTCATCATTTGCCAACGTCTCGTGCATGGACTTAGAAGATGTTTATTTGCTTAAACATTTGTGAAATGTTTATGTATTTTTGCCTTGTTTATTTTTACTTTTCAAGGTTAATCTTATAATTACACACTACAAAGTCCTTATCCCCACTTGTATGGTAATGGATTTAAGGTCTGTTTGGTTAGAGAAGCCCAACTTTATTAAGAAAGCTTTATTTAAAAAGTTATTAAAAAAATATTGTATGAAAATTGATAAGTTTTCTATGTAAATTTTATTAGAATTTTTATATTTAGTAAAAAATTGATATAGTAAAAATTAATAAGAAAATTGTCAAGTGAGTTATCCATAAAAAAAAAAAATTAATAACTATTTTCTGATTTTATCTTGCAAGTATAATTGGTGCAGAGAATATGATTGGACTTGGACGTGGATTGTCTGTGCAAAATGGTAGCATTCTAGTGTTCTCCTAGTGCTCTGCATGAAATTGATGTATCTGATGTTATTAATGTTGGTTATTGTTAATGCTAACATTGATGGATTGTTAATGTTGTTATCATTTGCCAACGTCCCATGCATGGACTTGGAAGATATTTATTTGCTTAAACATTTGTGAAATGTTTATGTATGTTTACCTTGTTTATTTTTATTTTTCAAGGTTAATTTTGCAATTGCACACTACAAAGTCCTTATACCCACTTGCATGGTAATGGATTTAAGACCCGTTTGATTAGAGAAGCCCAACTTTATTAGGAAAGTTTTATTAAAAAAGTTATTAAAAAAATCTTGTATGAAAATTGATAAGTTTTATATGTAAATTTTATTAGATTTTTTATATTTAGTAAAAAATTGATTTAGTAAAAATTAATAAGAAAATTGTCAAGTGAGTTATACATAAAAAAAATAAAATTAATAAGTATTTTCTGATTTCTATCTTGCAAGTATAATTGGTGCAGAGAATATGATTGGACTTAGATGTGGATTGTCTATGCAAAATGATAGCATTCTAGTGTTCCTCTAGTGCTCTGCATGAAATTGATGTGCTTGATATTATTAATGTTGGTTGTTGTTAATGCTAACATTAATGGATTGTTAATGTTGTTATTATTTGCCACTGTTCCGTGCATGAATTTGAAAGATGTTTATTTGCTTAAACATTGGTGAAATGTTTATGTATGTTTGCCTTATTTATTTTAATTTTCAAAGTCAATCTTGTAATTGCACATTACAAAGTCTTTATCTCCACTTGCATGGTAATGGATTTAAGGTTTGTTTGGTTAGAGAAGTCCAACTTTATTGAGAAAGTTTTACTAAAAAAATTATTTAAAAAGTATTGTATGAAAATTGATAAGGTTTTTTATGTAAATTTTATTAAATTTTTTATATTTAGTAAAAAAATTGATATAGTAAAAATTAATAAAAAAAATTGTCAAGTGAGTCGTACATAAAAAAAAAAGTTAAGAAATAAATCTTTTTCCTATCAAAAAGTGTGAAAAAAAAAATCTTATAAATAAAAAAATTTAATGTTTCATAGAGACAAAATGGTTTGGCAACCACACAGCCCTTTACTTTGAGGGCGTTATTCCCACACTTTCTCAACTTGGAGTGGATATATAAGACAATTATAAAATTGCAGCATTTTTGTATGATTAATTGAAAACATTGAATATGTAGAAGACATAACTGGATGTTTTCTTTAGGGTGGTAGTTGAATTAGATGAAAGGTTAAAACTCCATTTTGATCCATGAATTATTGTACAGACCCTCGATTTCATCCCTAAACTTAAAAAATCTCTGATTTGATTCTTACTGTTTACAAGTTTTACCCTAATTTGGTCATTCCGTTAATTTTTCACGTTAATTAACGGCCAAATACAGAAGAAACATTACATGTCACAAAAAAAAAAATTGCTAAGTTGGCAAAAATAAATGACACAGCCATTCCAACTCATCCCATCCAAAAAAAAAATTTTTTTTCCTTCCTCTCTTTCATCTACCCTTCTTCAACTTTTGCAAACCCTCTGCAAACCCTAAGATCTCAACCAATTTGTAACATCTCAACCAATCTATTCATTTCAACCAATTTCTACTCTTATTGGGTTCATCATCATCATCATTAAATAATAAAACTCACCAAAAAACAAAATTTTATTTAAAAGTTTTTTGCTCATGGATTCTTTCGAACCCAAGCATGCTAGGTTCAAAGGAACCAAGCAGCACCCTTTCTTTCTCCTTCCACTTCCTTACCTTGCCTTCTTCATCAATCAATTCTTTCTTCATCTTCATCAATCAATTCTTCATCATCACCAATAAAAAAAAAAAAAAAAAAAAAAAAAACATAACTCAAACCCAAAAATCCTGGGTTCAGTGGAAGGGTTCCAAGGAACCCAACGTGCCAACATGCATGGGTTCGAAAGAACCCACGCCTAGGTTCCACCAAACCTGGGCGTGCTGGGTTCCACCAAACCTAGGCACGTTGGGTTCCA